TGGATGCTGCTGCTGTCTTAAATGTGGCAGGGACTTCGCTTCAACATAAAAATGTGGTAGGGAATTGTGCGGCTTCATTAGTATCTGTTGCACAATGACCTTCTCCTTTGTTAACCATAGAATTATAGTCAAGGCGAGATCTCATCAAAAAATTGAAGTTCATTGGCTGTTGTCATTGATGGATAATAAGGCCTATCTCCTTTGTTGAGAAAGGTGGCTCATATCCATTAGGACATGGAATGTGCATCTAAAGATTCCTATACTATTCCTGCCTAAACCTGGGTGTGGCCATAGAAATCCAAGGAGCTAAATCTCATCCAAAGCTAGGTAGAAGCAAGGGTTAGGGACTAGATTAAGAAATGGATCTGAGGATCATGATCCTAAAAGGTTCAAGTGGGTTGTGAGAGAGCGGCATTCCCTTGTTTTCTTCTGAGATTGTGCAATGCTAAGAATAATGTTGACATGGAATGTTGTCTTCTCTTCTAGAAGTGACTAATCGATTTCAAACTGAATTGCTGATATCATGTAATTGAATTGTTAAGACTAGTACTTTTGAATTTTGTATATCTGTTTGATATCTGGGACCACCAACTTTACTCACAATATAGTTGTTTATGTCTATCAAATTTCATAGGACTCAGAATTATCTCCTGACATGTCCACGCGTCAACGAAGTGGTGAAGCTTTTAGACTGGAGCATGGGTTGTCTCCAGGTAATTAAATGTGTCATTCTTTGTGCCTTCTTGAATTCTTCTTGTGCACAAATACTAGATTGTTATGCCAATTATTATATCCCTTTTTGTGTTTTTCCTTCTTATATATATCAGATTGGTGAATTGTAATGTGTTGACTTTGTAATTGATGCATTTTATGAATTATCATCAAGGAAATATACAAACATGTAAGATAGGAAAATTCAGTTGCCAATAACTACTGGGAGGGCATGCTGTTTCATCTAGGTTTTAGAAACTAATACTACTGTTTTCCGAAAACTAACATGACGGTTGATGTATGCTAATGGTGCAACTTCAGATCTACAGATCGCTGTGGCAGTTTATTAACTTCCATTCAAATGTAGGCATGCTCGCACACTATCAATCCTTAAGGCTCAGTTTGTGATTGCTGAACTGTGATGTGCTTAACTTATTTTATAATCTGCTGGGAAAGATAGCCACATAAACAGGAAAAAGTTGTTACCGAAATTGTAAAGTAGACAAAAGCTGGTTGAAGAAACTATTATCATAATTGGCAGCAATGACAAACGCAACCTGAGTACCAACTGCCAGATGATTCATTACATAGTCAAATCTGTTTTACATGAGATGCAAAGGAGATGGCCAAATATTTTAGCACCTGCTTTTTCTTGTGATTTCATTTATCTTAATTTTAACTGCAAATATCAATCTGGTGAAACAAGGAACATAGCTAAAGCTGAAAAAGAACTATATAGAACTAGCCAACTGGGCCTCTTTAATTCGTAGGATTCTCAAAATGCGGGAATAGGAAAACATAGGAATAGAGTGTCATGTCCTCTTGTATCCTACGGGATTGAGAGAAGTGTTTGATAGCACAGGAAAAACAATGGAATTCTACAAAGAGCTTTGAGTGGATAGAAAGTTTCCTTCAAAATGTAGTACAGATGAATCCTATGGAAAAAATCCTAAGGATTCCAATCCTACGAATCAAATGACCATCATAGGAAAAATTCTGAAGGATTCAAATCCTTTAAAATTCCTATGAAATTCCTTTGTATCAAAGGAGCCCTAGGAGACAAATCAGACACTTGTATGGTCTACTATACCATCCATATATTATTAACATGATACACATTTATTTTTTGTTTTACACAATGGTAAAGCTGCTGCCTTTGTGACCATGAGGTCACGGGTTCAAGTCCTGGAAACAGCCTCTTGCAGAAATGTAAGGAAAGGCTGCGTACTAAAGACCCAAAGTGGTTGGACCCTTCCCTGGACCCTGCGCAAGCAGGAGCTACATGCACCGGGCTGCCCTTTTTTACACAATGCAAGGCCATCAAAAATTTCTGTCTGAATCATTAAATTTTTCTCGCCTAGAGTGCCGAGTAGCTAGAGTGCGCGTGTTGTTTGATCTTAATCCCGGTACTTGCTACCCAAGTCTAGTAATTGTTTGCTTCTCCTCTTAATGAAAAAGAGGACAAACACTTGCTTGCACGTTCTCTAGGAAACATTTCTTGCCTTATCATATGCATCAGTAACAATTCATAGCAAGACATCATATCTGGATTTTGTGTTCTGGCATGATGCTAGTTTATTGACCGGTCTATAAATGATTGTTGTGTTATAAAAAGCATGTCTGTTTTCTAATGATAAATACTCCTTTGATAGATGCCACAATCTTAACCATGCTGCCTGGAAGCAGGATGCAGGAAGTAGCTCGTATGCTCCCAATCTTCTTTCGGACTGTGCAACATTTAAGTCACACTTTAAATGATCTGTCACTAGTCATCCCAGTTGCTCCACATCGGGATGTGAGGACCTATGTTGAAAATGTAGTTCGATCAGTGCCGTTTCCAGTGGTACTGATACCTGGGGGTTCACTAGAAAAAAGATATGGTGCATTCAATGTAAGGTCACTTCTTTTTCTAGTTAATGGCTTTATTTCTCTACCACCAAATTCACTCTTTGGATATTGCCATTTTCGAATGTTGATATTTTCACTCATTTGATGGATGTGAAGACTGTAGCACCATACCTTGCTAGCACACATATCATGTATTGCTGTTTGTTCCAAAAGGATTCATGTTACTACTGTCCCTTTACAGCTGTGCTGTGGCTATAACCCCAGACTATGATTGGTTAAGTTAGCATTAGCATTTTCATCTCATCTTATATAGGATCAAAATCTCTATGAAGAAAAATCTAGAGCACTGTTGATTACTGTAGCCACTGGATTGTCCCACGGACCCACACATTATATTCCAGCCATGATTTTATTCTTTTTTTCCCTAGGAAACGATTGTCTAATTATATTAAGAATTTAAGATACAGTGCTGTCTGTCAACAGTTATATTAGTTATACACAAATAGTGATTCTCTAAGTGTTCACTCTTTGTTTTTGAGACAGCATTTATTCCTTGGTTGGTAATGTTAAGGCTCCTCTGTTCAAACCAACCATTCCTTTGGTAGCGAAGTGTACTAACCCAATAGGGCTAGATTTGAAATTTATTAGACTTGATTGATTGTTAGTATGTGAAACTTATCGCGGCCAGAGTCTACTTTCCTAATATTCCTTTTTTTTTGGCAGGCTAGTAAAGCAGCATTATGTACTTCCGGAACAGCTGTCATGGAACTAATGCTAGCAAAGCTACCCTGTGTGGTGGCCTACCAAGCTCATTTCCTTACTGAGTGCTTCATCCACCTGAGAAAAAAGATAAACTTTATTTCTCTACCAAACATCCTTTTGGACTCTCCCATTGTGCCTGAGATCCTTTTTCGAGCGTGCACAGATAAAAATCTAGCTGCAAAACTAAGGTAATTTTCCTTCTTCTAATCTACACCTTATATTTCCGGAAGTACAAAGGTAGCTTCTAGTTATGTGAAACGACATTCTCAATTAAGCATCAACATAATTGTGCTATATATTCATTTTAACCTGTTGGGAATATTCCATCTGCATTTCTAACTGTGGATTGGACCTCATCATACGTCTATCTTATTTTGATTGGTCCAGCGAGGTTATCTTCAACGATGAAGTTCGTCAGCTGCAAGTTGGATCAGCTGAGCGAATGCTCCAGGTTCTCTACGAACCAATCAAGCGACGAGGCAATTTGTTTGCCGAGGAGTTGGGGGACTTGGGCTTGTCATCAGACGTCTACTCTCCCGGCACGATTGCAGCATTGACGGTGCTTTATATGGACAAAAATCGGCACCGGAATTGAGTGGGCTCTCTCAGTGGTGGATGAATGTTTCATCAGCTAGAGCGCCAGGGCAGTTGCTATTGGTAGGGGACTGTATTGGCTGCAACTGATGATTGATCGTTGGAGGAGCAAAGCAAATGGTTAGGTAAACTTTTTCGGTGTGGACTGATGTAGAGTTCGTGTCGTGTCAGCATCACAATATCGTTGTAGAAATTTCGAACGCATGTGCTCTGGTGGGTCAAATTGCGGGCCTTAGTCATAGAGAAATCCGGACTTCCTTTTTTTCTTTCCCTTTTTTCTTTTTTGCGGGTAAAATCCGGACTTCCGGAGTTATGTTTGGCAGAAACATCTCTTCCATGCGTGGATTTTTGTGGAGGGTACAGGGAGCATATGAGCTGGGGAACAAGTAACTTGAAGATATTTATATCCTGAAATCTGGCCGTTTGCTAATTTGATTCGTGCTGCTGTGCTTTTTAAGGCGGTTTTGTGATTATAAAGTGTATCAGATGATCAAATACAGTAACTCTGGCCATAGAGGATCATGGGCCAATGACGGAAGCACTGGTGCAGCCGTAGCCGGTGATCATGTCACGGCTGAGCTCATGTACGCTGCGGGCCATGGGGCCGCGAATCTTCAATGGAAAATATTTCGGAGTGGCATTTTTAGTTTTGGTCCCCAAGTTGCCATCGTCATCTATGAACACCAATTTGGTGGCTTTGTAGCCGATTTTTGTCTGCCAAGTGGGCGTGAGTGCATTTCATCGGTCACTAAACGAGTTCATGCAAGGAACTTTCAGGAGTGCAATGTTTGTCGACGGAATCTGTCGTCTCATTACCGGTTCACACAGTTCTCCAGATTTCGTCTTACACTTCGTAAAAATTTCAGATGAGGCTAGCAGTACTACTGTACAATTGATGATTGATATCTGTTGATAACCGTAGAGAGATCACCAAAATAGCACCCACGAAATGCAAATTGGTTCACCACAGACTACTACACCACGCATGAATGAACGGTTACAGAATCGGAATTCGGCCTAAACTAAGAAGCTGACAACACACAGCTAAGAGAGAGGAACAATCGGCGAGAGAACGCACGTAGCATTCACCTTGCCCCATCGGCGCCCCCGCGGCGCGCCCCGTCCGCCCCCACGGCCGGCGGGAAGTTGAGCAGCGCCTTGGCGCCGCGCAGGCGGAACGCGGCGCGGTCGTAGGCGACGGCCGCCTCCTCGGCCGTGCCGAAGGTGCCGAGCCACAGGCGCGTGCCGGGCCGCGACGGGTCCCGGATCTCCGCCGCGTACTTGCCCCACGGCCGCCGCCTCACCCCGCGGTAGTGCGGCCGCTCCGCGGCCCTCCCGGCCGCGCATGCCCCGCCGCCCTCGCTCGCGTCGGGGCTAGAGGCGGCAATGGCCCTCGCCGTCTTCGTCGGGGGAGAGGAGGAGGAGGGCGAGGCGGCGGCCACGGCGGAGGCCTCGCGGAGGACGTCGAGGAGGATCATGTCGAGGGAGTCGTTCTCGTTGAGCGGGAGGTAGGCGGCTGCACCGCCCAGCGAGAGGGACGTGTCCATGCCCATGCCCATGCCCATGCCCATGGCCGCGCCCACCCGCGCAGGCGGAGCGCGCGCGCCGGGCGCGGCGAGGTGGTCGGCGCCGAGCGAGAGAGGCATGTCTGCGCGCGTGCGGGGCGTGGGGGTTTAGCTTGCTGCGCACACCCCGAGAGAGGTATATGTTGCTATTTACAGCAGCCCGGAGAAGGCGTCTCTGGCAAGACACTGGTTTCCTGGGGGAGCATTGACGAGGTGGAGACCGCGTGGGCACTCTGTGCGCCGCAGGCGTCACGATTCTTGGGGAGGAAGGCAAGGTGGAGGAGGACAAAGAGAAACAAGGGAGTGTGGCGGACCCGTGGTGGGATTTGTCAAGCGACGAGCGTAGATCCCGTGACATAGATCGCCGTGGGAGTGCCACGCCATGGGACGGACGAGCAGCCAGGGGCCCCGGCGGGAAGAGTCGAAGTGTTGTTCTCGAAGGGACGGACAGGCAGGACAAAGGTTCCGGACTGGCTGAGGCCAACTCCACCGCGCGACCTATCCGGATGCGTCTGTTTAGGGTAGAACGGACGAATAGCGCGGTCCAATGTGCGGCTCCAAACGGATAAATATCCGGTTTTCGTCCGTTTTTGACCCATCCCTGGTCCAAACTTGTGCCGAGTTTGGGGTGAAGCAGACATCACGCGGACGGGCTCGCCGTACGCCCTTGTCCTCCCGTGGCCCGCCTGTCAGGGACACTAGCAGCCCCTTCGCTTCCAACGCCTCCACCCCCTCTCCCCGCCCCGCCCCCCGCCGGCGCTGCCGCTATTCTCCGGAAGCCTCCTCACTGCGCAGGCCACGACCGTCCATACCAAACCACGTCTCGACATGGCCGCCAACACGACCGCGCTTTCGCCGTAGTTTTGGCCATCGACCAGAGGAGGTTTGGCCGTCGCCGTCGTAGCCAATGGCAGAGGGGATACGGCCGCCGGTGACGTACCACTGCGGCCGCGGCAGCTTTCGACTAGAGCTCCAGAGCGGCCAGTAGTCGGCCGCCAACCACCCCTGCTGCGTCAAGGTGATCATCGCGGCCTCTTTGCCCCCACGACCGCAAGGTTTTCGACACTTTGCCCACAAAGATATGGATAGTGAAGATGAGTTTTTATTCCACCACTTCATTTGTTCATCGGACGATTCGTCGTTGGATGATGAAGATCTTGTGGTGGCTGCACTGGTCGTTCACGACCACATTCAACGGTAGCTTCGTCGGTGCAGGGGGTCACTCCATGGCCGTGCTCCCAACCTGAACCGCAACAGGGAGAGAGGCCACACCCTGCTCTATGCCGATTACTTTGCCAACACCCCGCTCTTCAAGCCGGGTAAAATTCTGTCACCGTTTTCGAATGGCAAGGCATGTGTTCAATCGTATCCGAGAGGGAGTGGTTGCTCATGACCCATACTTCGAGTGCAAGACGGATGCCCTTGGCAAGCTTGGATTCTCCTCTTACCAGAAATGCACTGTCGGTGTCAAAACCAACGGATCTCGGATAGGGGGTCCCGAACTGTGCGTCTAAGGCGGATGGTAACAGGAGGCAGGGAACACGATGTTTTACCCAGGTTTGGGCCCTCTTGATGGAGGTAAAACCCTACGTCCTGCTTGATTTATTCTTGATGATATGAGTATTACAAGAGTTGATCTACCATGGGATCGGAGAGGCTAAACCCTAGAAGCTAGCCTATGGTATGATTGTATGTTGTCCTACTGACTAAAACCCTCCGGTTTATATAGACACCAGAGGGGGCTAGGGTTACACAAGGTCGGTTACAAAGGAGGAGATATACATATCCGTATTGCCTAGCTTGCCTTCCACGCCAAGTAGAGTTCCATCCGGACACGAGACGAAGTCTTCAATCTTGTATCTTCATAGTCTAACAGTCCGGCCAAAGGATATAGTCCGGCCATCCGAATACCCCCTAATCTAGGACTCCCTCAGTAGCCCCCGAACCAGGCTTCAATGACGATGAGTCCGGCGCGTAGTGTTGTCTTCGGCATTGCAAGGTGGGTTCCTCTCCATCTTTCGAATGTTTGTAAAGCAGTGTCCGGTCCCATAAATGTTTGGACCTCTTGGCTTCTGTATCCAATAAGGGCTTTCTCCCACGCGTCGAATGAATATGAGGCGCCAGGGTGTTTTTACATTCGCCCCCTAGCCAGATAAATAAATTGTCTATTAAAGGGATGGGGATCCTTAGATCCGATCCATACCATCCTCCCCCAGCAAGAATCCATCAGAGCGCGTCCCGGAAAGATCCATTCCAGCATGGCCGATCTTCGCAGCTCCTCCTCCCGCCCCCGAAGCCCCAAGCCCGGTGATTGGGAGAGGTGTTCAGTCCCACATAGTCGTTTAGTCGAACTGTAGACTAAGGGATTTCTCCCTCCGGCGTATATGGTGCCCGTTCGAGCCGGGCTTGCCACCTACAATGGCGGGGAGCAAGCGGAGAGCTTTCCCTGTCCCTCTATGGGGGAACAGGTCTGCCTTGTTCCCTATTTATTAAGAGGACTCGGATTTCCAATTCACATGTTCCTCCGCGGGCTTCTGGAGTTCTACGGCCTTCAATTACACAATTTCACCCCCGCCTCCATCCTACATATCGCCGGCTATGTTGCTCTCTGCGAGTTGTTCCTGGGCTGCGAGGTTCTCTTCGAGCTCTGGAAGAGGATATTTTGCCTCGTCCCTCGCACACAGAGGGGGTCACTTTATCAAGTGGGCGGAGCCGAAATATGGCGCATCACCGATACCGGATACCTGTATGGTACTCTGAAGAAGTCATCCGAAGACTGGCCTTTAGAATGGTTTTATGTGGAGGACGTTCCCCTTCCAGACCCTGTTCGGCGGGGTCTTCCTGAGTTCAACAATGCTCCTCTGAAGAAACGCCGAAGTTGGCGCCCACGGAGCCCCCAGGTGGAAGACAATGGAGAAGTCCTCTATCTGATGAACCGGATTAAAGCACTAGCTCGATCAGGATTGACAGTAATCGAAGTTATGTCGATTTGCATAATGCGGGGAGTGCAACCACTTCAATATCGTGGGCACCCCTTGTGGTGTTTTAACGGGGTGGATGACGCCACCCGCTGCGGGCGTAAGGGTCCGGACAATGCTGCCTGTCCGGAGATCCCCTAATCTAGGACTCCCTCAGTGAGCCCAGATTCCGAGGCATGGCTGGAGGCCATGAGACCCGAGTTAAAGTCCGTGGATGAGAATCAAGTTTGGGACTTGGTTGATCCGCCACCTGGCGTAACGGCCATTGGTTGCAAATGGGTCTTTAAGAACAAAACCGATGTGGATGGAAATGTTCAGATCCACAAAGCTCGGCTTGTCGCTAAGGGTTATGGACAAGTTCAAGGAATTGACTACGACGAGACTTACTTGCCGGTAGCGATGCTAAAGTCGGTGAGGATCGTACTAGCTATAGCTGCATATTTTGATTACGAGATATGGCAGATGGATGTCAAGACGGATTTCCTTCATGGAAATTTAACCGAGGACGTGTATATGATACAACCCGAGGGTTTTGTCGATCCTACTAGCACTAGTAAGGTATGCAAGCTCAAGAGATCCATTTATGGGTTGAGGCAAGCATCTCGGAGCTGGAACATTCGTTTTGATGAGGTCGTCACTGGTTTCGGCTTCATCAAAAGCGAAGAGGACTCTTGTTTATACAAGAAGTTAAGTGGAAGCTCAATAGTCTTTTTGATTTTGATCTTGTATGTGGATGACATACTACTGATCGGAAATGATATTTCGATGCTGAACTCGGTCAAGGAGTCATTGAATGGCAAGTTTTTGATGAAGGACCTTGGTGAGGCAATGTACATTTTAGGCATTAAGATCTATAGAGATAGATCAAGGAGGCTGCTCGGCTTAAGCCAGAGCACGTACATAGATAAAGTGTTGAAGCGGTTCAACATGAGTGAGGCAAAGAAAGGGTTCTTGCCACTCTCACATGGTATAAGGCTAAGCGAGACTCAGAGTCCATGATGCGCGAAGCAGGATGAGTAGGATTCCATATGCCTCGGTAATCGGATCCATCATGTATGCCATGATATGTATGCGGCCCGATGTTGCTTTTGCAATAAGCCTAACAAGTAGATACCAGGCCAACCCAGGTGAGAGTCACTGGGCGGCGGTAAAGACTATTTTGAAGCACCTGAAAAGGACTAAAGAGATGTTCCTAGTTTATGGAGGTGAGGAAGAGCTCGTCGTAAGGGGTTACGCCGATGCTAGTTTCCAAACCGACAGAGATGATTGTCGATCACAGTCCGAATTCGTGTACGTCATGAACGGAGGAGTAGTAAGCTGGATGAGTTCCAAGCAAGATACGGTGGATGATTCTACTACAGAAGCCGAATACATTGCGGCTTGTGAAGCTGCAAAGGAAGGTGTTTGGATCCGGAACTTTCTGGATGATCTTGGTATTTTCCCAGCCTCGGTAAAACCATTGGACCTTTATTGTGATAATTCTGGTGCCATCGCACAAGCTAAGGAGCCGAGGAATCACCACAAGGTCAGACAAATAGATCGAAAATATCACCTAATATGAACAATCGTAAAGAGTGGTGATGTAGAGTTATGCAAAATTCACACGGATGCAAATGTTGCGGATCCGTTGACTAAGCCGCTTCCACAACCCAAGCATGAGGGGCACGTTAGAGCTATGGGCATTCGATGTCTATTTGATTGACTCTAGTGCAAGTGGGAGACTGTTGGAGATATGCCCTAGAGGCAATCATGTATGATGATATTTCCTATGTGTTTATGAATAAAGATAGTACTTGGACATTATCAATGATGTGTATCAGCAAGTACGTGACTTGTTTGTGGGACTATGCATTGTATGATGACTGTCCTAAAAGGTCCCTAGTCGAAAGGGCCGTGTGGACGCGCAGCCAACTAGACTAGCATATGACACGGTCGATGGCTTGGTCTCACTAGCCATGGAGCATTGGATGCTAACCGGATAATATGGACTCGGAAGGATCTGGTCGGATTCGACGTAGTCGGATCCGGGTCGAGATAAGGTCCAAGTCGGACAGACCCAACTATGAGACGCAACAATATGTCATCTGTGAGTCTCTAGTACAA